TACGCGTGCTGAAGCTCAAGAACTCACTGATTCAGCTAGAAGCAACGTAATGAATGATGTACGTGTAGTTATGATGTCGGTGCCTCAGCCGGGCTGATGAATGAAACAAGCGCGGGAAAGCTCGTATTAAGGTTAATCTTCAGCTGTAGTTCCGAAAAAATCCACCACGTCGCGCTGCTAAAATCCGACTCCGAAATTAGTGATTATTTAAATATCACAATAGGTATCTTAAATTCTAAGACTCATAAGTTCTAGCAGCATACGTCTGGAATCCTTAGAAACAAACGCGAGCTTTGAAAGTCTAATAATAAAAGCTGTAAATTGATCCCAGTTTCTCTTACGGGATATCTGTAAGTGCGAGAGAGACAGCTCACGGTGGGAGAGAGATATCTGCCAACTGCTGAGAGCGATCAAGCGCGATTGGTTGCATCAAGGTCATCATGCTTAACCCTACTTTTTTCTGGGATCAAATTGCAGAGCTTCAGAAATGACTTTTCACGTTGTTTTTAGGGTCAATAGGAAGAAGAATGTTATGGCTAGAACTTATAACTCTTCGATTTAAACAGAAATTCCTTCAACTTTTATAAAAGCTCAAGGACTCACGTGGAGCTGTACGGACTCTAAACCACAGCGGTGGCGCCCCCTGCGCGGAGTCTTACTTCACGCAGCTGTAGATAAACCTTAAGGAAGCGTTCAGCTGTCATGGGATTTGTCAGTGTTCCGAATTGAGAATCTGCGATAAGAGATCGCGCTGCTGTCGCGTCGACGGCGCTCTGAGAAGACCGCGAAATGCGAATCAACGTGATGTAGCTAAGCTGTGATACAATTTCGAAAATCTATTGCCTTTTTTCAAATTTGGAACAAATTCAGTTCGAGCCTTGTATTTAAGCTATATCTTCCTGAAAAATTTCAGCTCGATTAACGCTATAATGTAGTTGGATTCACTTAACCAACGAGGGCACCGCAAAACGAATACGACGGGAGTTCCGAGTCAGGCACGGTTCGGGGTGAAATTTGAGAAAAGTACGGTAATATGGGTGGTTTCACGATAACTGCAATAGTTTTGTCGCCGTAAGAGGCAACACATTTTTCGGTCATATTTTTAGTATACTAATGATAATCACTCGATTTTTTTGCACAAATCTACACAGAGTTCTGTGTTATAACGCTTTTTAAAGATTTATAACTCTCTTTCTCAATTATAATATATAAATGACCGAAAAAGTGCTGTCTGTTACGCTGACTTTTTACGGCGTAACAGGCAGCGCATTTTCGGAATTTACATCATATTAATTGATAAGTAGAGCAATAAATTATTAGAAAGCGTTATAATACGTAACCCTTTGAAGATTAATGCAAAAAAATGCGACAGTTGATCATTTCTACTTAAAATATGACCGAAAAGTGTGATGTCTGTTACGGCGGCAAAACCATTCCAGTTATCGTGAAACCACCCATATTTGTTTCCGGCCGAGGCTGCAAAGTTGATGAAATGCAAATCTCGCGCCAGGGACCTAGTTGTGAGGACAAAAAGCTGCGTTTAAAGGTTTGAATTGAATATACCTCCGTTTCACCTACCTTGCGCGCAACCAGAGTACTCTCCGCTTATTTGAAAATTGGCGCGTCAATTTGTATATCCTACCAAGCGCGGTGCTGAATTGGCGGGAACCAATGGGAGTGGATGTTTCAACTTGTTTACATTCGCGTTGAAAAGAGCGCTCCTATATAATGAAAATGGCTCCATAATAATAAAAATGCAAAAGTAAAAATCCACTTTTAAAAATCATTTAATTCTAAAATAAATAATGGATACAATTTTTTTTAAAAATGAGATTGTATAATTATAAAATGTTGATTACAAGAAAATTTTTAATAATCAGGAGTATAAGATAAATGAATAAAATAACCAAGGGAGAAAAAATAAACAAATTACAGTAAACGTTTCGAATAATTTTGAAAAACGAATTTTAGCGGTGCAGGATTTTTTTTTTTTTTTTTTTTTTTGAGGGAATGTTGTCGAATTTTAATTTTTTAGAATTCGGAAGAGACCAGGCTAATGATCACTGTACAATGTACTAGGCACTAAATCTTATATCTATGGTGAAACTACAGAGGGCGTATCTCGTAAAACACGATTTTTCAGGAGAGCAAAAGAACCATCTACATTCCTCCCTATCATCAGAGGAAGGGAAATAATTCTTGAGGATAGCAAAAATAAGATACTTTTTCGGACTCCATCAGCATTTTGAATAATTCTTCCAACTGTTAGGAAGTACGGCAGAAAAAAAACGAGATTCGCATTTTCGGCACTAAGAATTGAGACTTACTCCAGAGTTACGCATTTTTGCAATTTTCGTTTTAAACCTATTTTGGATGAATTTTGGTCATTGTAAATACGGAAAATATATAGTTTCACACTAAAAATTACCAATTAGAACCATCTGTTTGATATCAATGTATCGGATCTAGAATTCTATGATTGGAAAGTGATAGTTGATCACGAGATACGCATTTCTGCCATCTAAGTGTGTTTTGAACCTGTTTTTGACGGATTTTGATTATATTAAAATCAAAAATATAGGTTCAAACTTAAATTTACTTTTTAGAAGCTTTAGTTGTATAAGACTCTATCATCATTTTGAATAATATTCTTGTCTGTCAGGAGAAATGACCAAAAATCCGAGTTAAGTACGTGTTTGAGAAACTAAGGTCCAATACTGAATTCCGAGATACGTGGTTGGCGAATTACTGTTTCAAACCTATTTTTTGCCGACGTTGAATGAATAAAGACTCAATATAGAGTTTAAAAGGATTGTGTCCTCTAATTTGCCTTTTAAAGGGTTCATTAATCCCACAGCATGGATGGAACATCCTTCGTTGCGAATAATATGAATTATCGGATGCAATAAAAAAATTAGATCTCATGGTTGTATTGGTATAAAATTGAAAGAATGGAAAAGGAAACTGCACTTCCAAAAGTATTATTCTTGAGTAAATCTTCTTCAGTGGCGTTCCTATGTCATCAAGCGCCTTCAAATACGCACGTATGCAACACTGATTACAAAAGTTTATTCCCTTTTCATCTAACAGCGACTGTCATACCGCCCATTAAAAACAATGTGACTCCAGTCCATTTTTTTTTTTTTTTTTTTTTTTTTTTTTTTTTTTTACTGGAAGAGGCATGACTGGGTGTCTGAGTTTCTACAGCCACTTTACGTTTATCCTCTCACTTTAAAAGTAGCCAAAAGTTCCTTCTAACAAACTTCAATTGGTAGCAAATCTTTAGAATGACACCGGACAACAATTCAACGGCGTTAGTCGGCAATATTGTAACTCGGCTTACGACGTCGCTGACTTTCTGTCATAATTTACTTTTTAAACGGAAAACTTCTCAACGGCAATCCTTTAAAACTGCATTGATTTTTCTTCCATGTGGGAAGGAAATTATGTATAAAATTCAAGAAATGATGTCAATTGGTTCTCCTTTAAAAAAATTAACATATAGAGGCAGAGATTTTCAGACACCGCAAACGAGATAATTATGCGATTGCGGATTCTCGCCGTCGAATTAAGAATTCAAATGAAATGAAGATAAAAATAGGCGGACGATTAAATTGTTGTTATTTGAAGATTCCGTGACGTACTAACTTTTAATTTTCCCTCCTAAACTGTTCACGATTCTTCCCGGGAGAGAGCGCGTTGTGTGAAAATGCGGTGCGAAGGCACGAGTTATGATGTG